GTATGTATTTGGAGAGGGGTGACATTTGTTTCTTTTTCTACTAAAAAAAATTGAACCGGTATAACAATTAGAACGATTACAGACGGATAATTGTGTGGATCCACTTGGACCGGCTCGTTTTAAGGTTCGCCCGACATATTTTGCAGGTACTAGCAATTAAGGTTGTAAACGAATCGAATCAAAGCGAATACTCATAGATTCGATTCTGATTCGTTAAAATATTTGAAGATTCGAATTCGTATTCGATTCATTAACAAACTCATTTTTTGATTCGTATTCGATTCATTTAGAATATTCGAACATATTCAATTCAATTCGAAATTCGTTTTCAAAAAAATATTATAATTACAAAATATATTTTTATTTTTCATATATTTTTAGAAAAATTTATTAATTTAGGATGTTTTTACTTTTTATGTCTTAAAAATATTAAGAATATAACAATATATATACATATATATTATAAACAAAATGTATACTATATATAATTCTTAAAATTTATATAATTATTGTTAACGAATCAAATATTCGAATTTCGAATCGAATATATAAAAATTCAAATTCGGATTCATTTAACTTTCGAATCTAAAACATTATACGTATTAAAAGAAAGTTTTTTTTCGTCTAAGTTGATAAAATAGTAGTGAACACCGTAAAAAATAATTGACCAGTCCGATCAACCAATTCTGACCGGTTCATTAAAAATCAATTCGTTCAAATGAATCCAACCGTTTAGTTGACCGATTCTCGACAACTAGTTTAGCCCAGTTTTCAAAATAATAGTAGTTTTTTTAGCAAGAACCGATTAAAAAAAGTACAATTCACATGCTTAATCTATCGTGAAAAACCGAGAACCGAAATGCAAAAATGAAGAACCGAATATTACATACGTACCAAGAACCATAACTAATTCACATATATAAACAAATAAAATATGCATATTTCACATATATAATCGGTTGCTCAGTTAATACACATAAAATTTAGAGCAAAACCGAGAACTGAATCGGTTTGTAATTAACTTTTTTAATAACAATAATATAAATTTAAATATATTTGAATATATACATATTTTTAAATTTATATTTTTATATTAAAAAGTATATAAATATTATTTATTAACTAATTTAAAAAATATAAACAATTGACCAGTCGGATCAACTAATTATGACCGGTTCATTGGAAGTCAGTCCATTCAAGGAATCCAACCATTTACTTGACCGACTCCATATTCAACAGTCAGTTTAGCCCAATTTTAAAAACAATAATAGTTGATATTATATTTATTTTTATTTTATCTTTTACAATTTTATTAACCTACAATTATATTTTTTTTTCAACCACTATAAGTATATTAAATTAAATAATTATTTCGTAAATATATTTATTATTTAACTAAAATATTTAAATAAAGAAAACATGATAATATAAATTCAAATATATTTGTTAAATTCAAATATATTTGAATTTATATGTATTAAATATATTTAAATTAAAATTTTTGTTACATAAACAAATAAATATTTATTAACTTATTATATATATATATATATATATATATATATATATATATATAATTGTCCAGTCCATTCAACTAACTATAATCAGTTCATTGGAAACTATCCCATTGAAAGGAATCAAACCGTTAATTGACTGATTCTCGATTCAACAATAAATTTGGCCGAGTTTTCAAAACAAAAGTAGTTGATATTTGTTTCCTCTTCTAGAAAAAATAAAAATCGAACCGAACCGGTCGGCGAAAATAAATAGAGGCTGACCAACTACTTTGTAACGATAACCGAATGATCATCGATTCAGTTTCGATACCGAAAAATGACGGTTCAATTTAAACTGAACCGAGCCGTTACAATATATATATATATATATATATATATATTAATTTATATTGAATTACAACTTGTTCGTCATCGTGTAGTTATTCAATGAAACTGAAAAAAAATACATTAATGTGATTGCACATAATTATATATATTAGAAAAAGTTATATTATTCTAATTCGTATTAGATTTACAGTAAAATTAATTCTTGATTCATATTTAATTCGATTAAGACAAGCGTATATACAAGATTCGACTTGAACTTCACTTTTTAAATTATTTAATAACATTAAAATATTATTATATTTTTTTTTTTACATATGAATATATTAAATACAAAAATATTATTAGTTGAACAAATTATACATATAATATAGAAAATATTGTAATATTACTATGGTAACTAACACATTAATTTTAAGGAAAGCTGAAGGCAAAGATTTCATCACGCAGTCCGTTCGTCTCCAGAGTTCTCAATTTTCATCTTTCTGATGTCTTAGTTC